GTCCTAGTCCTGTCCACCCATTCTCTGAGGCCCTGTCAGTGTTCGCGCGTTAGGTGGGGGGTACTGTCAGGGTCAGCCCCTGTTGTCCCACCCCTATGTCCCTTCCCTGTTTGGCCAGCAGGCATTGCTGGTCATCCTGTTCTTTATGTTAGTCTTTGTTCTCCCCTGTTGCCTGTCTGGTCATGTGGCTCAATGTGTTGAGCATGGTGTTGTCTGTGTGCTGTGTTGTTTGCGATGTTCAATGGTTTTGCGATTTTCAGTGTTTGATGTGTATTCGGTTTTTGATTTAGTCTTAGTTTATCCCCTTTAGTTTTGACCCCTTGTGGTTCTTTTGGTTTCATTGTGTTTGTAGTGTTTTCTGTTTATTTAATAAACCCCTTTCTGTTCCTGGAGCCGCTAGTGGGTCGTCCACCCTTTTTTGTCTGACCATGGACTATGAGACTCCTCAATAATGTTGTGGTCCAAGAGCTTTGACACCTGTTGCTGCAGTACAGCCTGAGTAGCTGGTGATGTTCTATATGGGCGCAATTTTATTGGAGCAGCATCACCAGTATTAATGCTATGTGTAATCACATTAGTTTTGCCATATTCATGAGAATGAGAGCTAAAAATGTCAGCAAACTCTGTCAGCAGGCACTTGAGCCGTGCCTGTTCTTCAGCATTTAACTTTGTATCCCCCAAATGCACACCAGGGATTGGATGGACAGCTTCTGTAGAAGTAGTCACGGCTGAGACTAACGTATACTCATCGTGTATTGCTAGTGACTGAGAAAAGCTGACCTAATGGGCATCCAGCATCAAGGGAGACTTGTTCGCTAGTCGGGTTAACAACTCGAACCATGCCCCTCCCTTTCTGAATGGAGATCAGTGTTCGAGCGACACCTAAAGTCACAACTGGAGGAGGCTGTGGTTCCAGTATACCCACATATGTGTCAGTGAAAGGATTCGCTACGCCATTATCTGTGACAGAAATTGGGATTACCATCTCTGACATAGGCGGGACAGTCACCTGAGCGACACTAACTGCAGAACTTTGTACTGGAATCAGAGGCACTGAGGTGTTATATAGTTGTAAATGTGCATTGGTATGTCAACCGTAACGTTGTGCTCAATTAGAAAATCCCATCCTATGAGAACAGGATGAGTAGCGGTACGTACTACATGGAATACATGGGAAAATGTGACATCCCCAATATGTATGGGAGCTGTCACAGAACCAAGTATAGCTGTCCAGTTACTGATGACGCCAACACAAATGACTTGCTGATAGATTGAGTAGACAAAGCTGGAATGGATTTACGACAGTCATCAGTAATGAGAGATAGACCTGACCCTGTATCTACCAAAGCATTAAGTTCAGTACCAACTATGCAATTTGAATAAACGGTGTGGGTGGAGTAGAGTTATAAGCAACTAAATCAGAGTGGACCATTATTGGGGATGAAGCTGGCATTTGGTCCCCAATGACAGCTTCTACTCGTTTCCCCGCTGTGGTGAGAGGGGGGCTTTCTCTCTGTGAGACTGAGAGACGTGTACATGGCACATGGGGGAGGTATAATACCTCTGTGAGCTATAGGAATGCGGGGGTGGCGATGGAGGCTATGTCTGCGATAACTGGAATGTCTGTACTGTGGACTGGGTGAGGGTGAGCGAGCATAATGGGCTCCATGGTCACGATCGAGATCAGGCCGGCGCTCACGTGAAAACGAGCGGCCAGACCTGGAGTTCTCATAACGATATCTGTGGGGGATGTATTGGTTAGATTGTGTGGTGTGAGGGGGGTGTGACTTACGACTGCGGGAAGAATTAGAGTAGTTACAATGTCTTTGGTAAGAGATGTCATCAATTGGGGAAGGCTGGTCATGTTCTGAGTGGCCACGGTGGTGCTGTGAAGAACTACATTCATCCCGAAGGTGTTGGCGTCGACCTCTCTGTGCATGTTGTGCAGCACAGCAGCAGTCTCCATGACGATGATGGTCATCCAAGCCCGGCAGTCGACGGCTGCACAGGTCTGATGTGAAGAGAGTGTGGAAGATGTTACCTCGTCCTGAAGACTGGAAATCCGCTGCGAAAGCTGGTCCACACGTTCATCCGTCCGTCGTAAGTGAGACTGGCGTAAGGCATGCAAGTCAGTTCGGAGTTCAGCTATGGCTGATGTCAGTTCAGTGATGTGGGTTGCTGTCACTGTGTTAGCTGATGGTTGTTGATGCACCACCACAGGCATAACAGCTGAAGGGTTAGCAACACTTATGGCCAACTGTGCACGTTCACATTGAGTGTCAACTTTCAAAGCATTGTCCAAAGTCACAGCGCCATGCTCATGAATTTTCAGTTGAAGCGATGGGTCTAAACCGGTCACAAATCTATGAAAAATTTCGCAATTCCGTGCTGCTGCACCATATTGCGGGAATGCTCCAATCATTTCGATGGCGTGGGTTCGAATCCCACCGCTGCCACCAGTGTAACGCACGTTGTTTCTCTATGCAAGCTTCACAGTTCTTACCGCGCGCTGGCTCATGAGTTCTTGGCTTTGTAGCACGGAGGACGCCGACAGGGAGCTCTGGGAGTCATAACACTTGCTTTATTAAACATGAAGAAGTGAACATCGCAGGTTAGCCACATCCGATTACCCAGTGCGCATCATCTCTCTCCCTCTCCGCTCTTCTCTCTCCGGGCACTACCTATTCTCTCGCAAGCCTAATCGCGGATCTCTGTTCTCGCGATATTACCTCTACGTCTTATTTAAAGTTATAGAACATTCGTTTTAACCTAAAATTTCACTCCCTACAATATACTCACAAGAAACCGAATAGCTTTGTCTTAGACATTCTTTTATTTAAATAAA